TGCGATCCAATTAATTGATAAAGTGTCGATCAACTCCATATAAGGTTTGTGTTACAGGGGCAAATAAGTATACGCATTTTGGGGAACATGATTTTCAAAATAATTCCCACGAGCGTTATATGGGTAAGACAAAAATTAACCTCATTTAAAATTATGGTTAAGGTTTAAACTGAAATTTTGCAAGGAATATTTCTTGTTAGAATTCCAACAGTTGTTTTATAATCAGGATTATAGACGCAGACTTATGTTAGTGCCGTAACTGATCTTAAAGTCAATTGAATTTAACTCAAAAATGTGTCTATACATCAAAAAGCTAACGTTTACCATAACATTTGACATGTGTAGTACTGTAATACATGTGTCATAATATTTGACTTATGCCATGTGCAGCAAATTTGATACAGTTATAAAATCGCAAAAATCTGAAATTATAAACCATATGGAATGGTGTATAAAGTACGTAAGGTATGGTTTACTAACAAACCTGAATGATTCTTGTAAATATGTTATTTATGAATTTGAATTTTTATTCTCACGAATAAAATAGAGTTAAATGATCTGTTAACATTAGAAATTACAGCCTTTTGCTTAGCATTATCCACATATAAAGTAGTCTCTGTAGCGAAGCCACGACTACTATTCATCAGTTTTACCATTTTATTCAATATGAAGTTGTTGATTCTATCCTATAAAATATACAACAGTTGTTCTTGTATATAAATTATCAATGTTAGTAATAAAGTTTTTGATCAAGCAATTAATTAATTGAAAAAATGATTAAAACAATTCATTTATTTATGTTCCCGTAATGATGTAACTTTCTTCTATTTTGCCAGATTTGTTGCACAGATTGCCTGAACTATGAATCAGATTTCAAGATCAGGTGCAACGTAACACGAACAGGAAAATTCAAAGCTTATTTCTACTCTTCGTGCACTAACAAAAGTTTTCCTTGAGTAATTTTACCATGTACGCTCCCAACCTTCAATCATAATAAAAGCCCTAACCTTAACATAAATAACGAATTTTGACCGACCACAAACCTGGCACACATTCAAGAATTGCTCTATCCGTTGATTCTCGCTTTCCCCGAAATCACATAGGGTTAGCATTTTGTTAGTTGTATAGATATCTATTTTTAGCAAATTGTCACTTGTGTGATATCGGGTAAGTGACATTTTGGGGAAATAGCTTTCGGTCGGTCTAGATCATTTGTGTAAAATTTTTTTAATAGTAGATCAAGTGATCGACGCATCCAAATTTTATAAGTAATGTATATTGTTTACTCAAGAATACTCAAAATAGGGGGTCGTCTAAAGCGGGGGAATGGCTAAAGCCATGTACCCACGTGATTTTGACATCGTTTTAATTAAAATTAAGGTTAGGATTAGAGTTAGTTGGGTGTTTGATATAAGAAGAGGAATAGAGGTAAAATTGCCTTCCCGACATTTTTAATTAGTGCCCCAAAGCGGGGCAAATCCACGTGATCACAGGCAGTCATAGAATATAGAATTTTTGATGATCGCCGGCGAAGCAAAAAAATGAAAAACCTAAAAAAAAAAAACGGCAGTCTAAACCTAATATAAGATGACCCTAACTTTAATAAAGTTAATCTAAGAAATATGAGTTGCCCCCGCTTTAGACGTCCCCAAAATAGGTAATGATAAACATTCAATTACTGAATTACATAAATTTAACTGTTTATCATTATCTTTTTTGGTGCGTGAGAGTAAATAGATTTAATGATTGATGATTGACTATGATTGGTTACTCACGCACTCAAATAGTAAAAATCGTAAAAAAAATTGGCTAACTCCGTGGTCAAGATTCTTTTGGGTTTTATTTTTAACCACTCTTGAAATTTCATAGGAAGAACCTTCAAATTCTAGAGAATTTGTGAAATGATACCTAGAAATTAAACCGGCAATTTCTTTACTGTCAAATAAGGCTAGAAAGCAAATTTTACTTATAAAATTTGGATGCGTCGATCATTTGATCCAGGGAAAAAAATTCAGAATCAAAATTATGTGTATGCCCGCGTATGTTATTAAATATAATGTGCGTTTTTAATTTATTAACTGTATAGCGCACATTATTTAAATATATTGCTAATAAGTTATGTGCGCTTTGTGCACAAGTTTATATTTTTTTTTTGTTCGCAAAAAATTTTTTATGTGCGGAGCGCACATGCGCACGTCACTGATTTGATCCACTATTAAAACTTTACATGTAACATCTAGTAATCTCTATCGCTTATATTGCCGTAATTATTGAACTAAGATTAGGACAAATTCAGCTATTATGACACTTTTGACGTGATGACACGTTAATTGGACGTAACCATCCTCGTCAAATGTCTGCATCTATAATCAGGATTTTGAGATATCAAACATATTCGTGTATATACACAGTGTGTGCAAATTTGTGTTTTTTAAACATTTATAACGCATATATACCATATATGTATTAATTCAAAAAATCAAAAAATCAAAAATATAGCTGGGAATACCTTTCGACAGCTTGACTATCTACGCCGTAGGCACGCGCCAAAGGGCATGCCCGTGCCTCCGTGCATCGAACCCTAACAAAGGCTAGTTGGACTTGAGGCTAAGGCTAATTGGACTTAAAGCTAAGGCTAATTAGGTGTTACGAAACATTAGTGTAAGATCGGCATTGTACTTTTTTAGAGAATTATAGGTTTCCCAGGGGTCATGTGTGTCAATAAATCACGTTTTGACGTAACATAGGCAAGGGCAATTAAAAATACTGGCCTTAAAGCTTGCGACAACACAGTGTTTAACTGATTACTGTATGTTATTATATAATAAAGATCGTCTTACATTAAATATATGATTAAATTTATATTATACGACGTACGTACGTACGTATTTATGTAATTGAAAATCAATAAGCGTCAGATTCAGTAATTGAGTTACATAATATTACTCCGATTAACATGTGCTTAAAGCCAAAAATTCATTCACATTTTTTTTTAGGTATAATGATTGGCTTAAGTTTTTTCATGCGTTTTCCTAATTTGGATACGAAATAAATAGTTTTGCATCTTTAAGGCTCAGTTCATCGATTCGAATCTAATTTTCAATCATGAAGTTTTCTCACTCACTTCAGTTTAATGCTGTCCCGGACTGGGCGGATCGTTATATTGCGTATCCTTCATGTTAAAGGCAGTATGCCTTGAACGATATTTATTATTTAATTATATTTGCTTACAAAGTTGAAGGTTACTACAACTTCAAATATGCCTTGACTCAATTTTTCTTTATAGATACTCGAATCTCAAAAAGATCGTCTATCAGATTGAAAGAGATATAATAGTAACACCTGCCCAGGCAAGCGATGCTGAGGCAGTCGAAGAGTCTCCGTTGCTAGACTTAACAACTCGTGCAAATGCAATATTTATACCAGCGCTTGACAAAGAACTTACAAAAATTAACTCATTTTACCTCTCTAAAGAAAATGAACTCTTTAAAGAAGTCACGAATCTTATTCAGGATTTTGCTGTATTTGAAAATCTTGAAGATTCTGTGAGTATCCGCAGCAATTCGTTTTCCCTAGGTCGGTCTAATCAATCAATGGACAAATCAAATAAAAGGGCCAGTACTTCTCGTCTTCATAGAATGTCTGTCTCGGAATCCGTTATTTCAAATGTTAGCAGTGATGAAGATGAAAATACTCCAATCACAAGAGTCGCCAGCTCCCCTTTGGACAGAAGAAATACCTTTCTATGGAGACCATCATCTGTTGAAGAACAAAGGATACACTTAAAAAGGCGCACAATTGATCTTTTCGTTTGGTTATCTGAACTCAAGTCATTTGTTTTATTAAATAGAACTGGTTTTTCGAAAATTCTAAAAAAATATGACAAGATAACCAGCGGTAATCTTAAATCTTCATATTTAAATAATGTGGTAAATGATGCTTATGTATTTAAAGATTCAACATTTAAAAACATGGAAGAACGAATTCTAAAAGTGCAAGAAATTTATGCCAACATATGTACTAACGCAAATATGGATGCAGCTATGCGTGAGCTTAAAACACATTTGAGGGAATTTATAGTTTGGGAAAGAAATACTGTCTGGAGAGATATAATTGGTCTAGAAAGAAAATCTCAAGCTGTAGGCATAAAAGCTCCCGTAACAATAGATCAGTCAACTGAAGATAAAGCGAAAATCAAAATGCCTTTTGGTGGGATTACTATTTCAACTACTTTTTGGAAAAAGTCTTTGATATTGTCATTTTGTATCATAGTATTTTTATTCTTATTGAATATAAATTTATTTCCGAAATCGGAACAACAGAATTGCTTTGCTTTATTAATATTTGTTTGTCTTCTTTGGTCTACAGAGGTAAGATTGATTGTATATTATAACATTTAGATTTATATATGTTTAATTAATCCAAATTCCATTTTTATATAATAGGTTATGCCTCTTTTTGTCACATCGCTTTTAATTCCATTACTAGTCGTATGTTTAAATGTACTACCCCCAGATATACTATCTTCACATACACTACCTCCATATATACTATTTTCAACTAAAAAAGAACCAATCGCAACTAAAGCAGCACACCATATTTTTTCTGCAATGTTTTCACCAGTTATAATGTTACTTTTAGGTGGCTTTGCAATTGCTGCTGCATTAAGTAAATATCATATTGCAAAAGTGATGGCTACGTTTTTGTTGTCAAAAGCTGGTACACGACCAAGCATGGTTCTTCTTGTTAATATGTTCGTTGCGACATTCTTGAGCATGTGGATAAGTAATGTTGCTGCTCCAGTTTTGTGCCTTTCATTAATTCAGGTATATTTTATTTTATTTATTTATTACAAACTCGTTCATGGAGTAACCAACCAACCAACCGGTTCATTTTTATTAAATACTAGCCAATTCTTCGAAATTTGCCTCAAAACAGTTCATTTGCTCGATGTTTAATTTTAGGCATTGCTCTGGCATCCAATGTTGGTGGTATGGCATCTCCAATATCATCACCACAAAATATAATAGCAATTGAATATATTAATCCTTCTCCAACATGGGGTCAATGGTTCATAGTAGCTATTCCTCTATGTATAATTATAAACATTTTAGTTTGGCTTGTGTTACTTTTTAATTATAAACCATCTGATAATTCATTAATTATTCATCCAATAAGATTAACAAAAGATCCATGGTCAGGAACTCAAATATTTGTAATGGTAGTCACTGGTATAACTATTGCATTATGGTGTACCGAAAAAACATTCAAATCCTTTGAAAACTTTTTTGGTGATATGGGAATTATAGCAGTTATACCGTTAGTTGCATTTTTTGGTACTGGAATTTTAACAAAAGAAGATTTTAACAATTTTTTATGGACTGTAATTGTACTTGCAATGGGTGGTATAGCTCTTGGGGCTGCTGTACGTGATTCGGGGTTGTTAAAAACCATTGCTGAATCCGTTCAATTACTATCTAATGGTTTAAATGTATGGCAGGCTTTGGCATTGTTTAGTTCATTGGTTTTGGTTGTGGCCACATTTATTAGTCATACTGTTGGTGCGTTAATTATTTTGCCTATTGTGGCCGAGGTTGGATTGCATTTAAGCGACCCACATCCAAATTTACTTGTTATGGTTTGTATTGTTTAATAATACGCTTTAATTTACGTCCTTTAAGTTTTACTAATCATTTCTTTTTAAATATAGGGATCTGCACTAATTTGTTCTGTAGCAATGGGATTACCAGTATCCGGTTTTCCAAATATGAATGCTATAATGATGGAAGATGAGATGGGTGTACGGTATCTTAATACCCTGGATTTTATAAAATCTGGTATACCGGGGTCGGTATTAGGTTGGATGTCCGTAGTTACAGTTGGTTATGTATTAATGATGCTTATTCGTTTTTAACTAAAATGTAAGATTATCTATAGTATGAATTACTAAGACATTTATTTATTAAATAAAGGGATTATTTTTAAACGATTTAAACTTTGATTTATACTAAGTCTACATATACTGATCTTATACTAAATTTGCATTAAATCGATTTATGCTATTGTACCCAAGGTTACCACCTGCCTAGAGCGCCCGAAGTTACATCTGTGCAGTAATTTGAGGTGCTACCTCAGGCGCCTGAAGGCATCCAAACTTCAAAAAATTAATAAATATACATTATTACAGTATCTTCGCGTAATAACGCCCGTCTGCGCATATAAGTGTTATTTAGAGTACGCGCATAAGCGTTATTTTAAGACAAAATAAAATTTCTCTTAAACCTGATTTTCAAAATAATGTTCACGTTAAATCAATAAATCGATTTTTAAATCTCTTCTTAACCGAGCCAACTCAACTGGTAAGTATAATAGTTGTTTGTCAGTTGGAGTATTCTATACTAATACTTTGATTAATTTCATATTGTAGAAGCATATTCTAATTATTGATTGACATTGAATAACGAGGCTGCTTTTATATGGGTGCGCGTTATTTTGAACGCGAATGGACGTTACTTTGAAACTATGCATACCATTTTCAGAGAGCGATTTTCTAGATAACGCCCACGCGTTATTACGCGAAAATATGGTATATACATATTTTTTTTATACACAAACATTTTAACTTATTAAATTAGGTGTCTGAAAAATGTCCAAACATGTAACGTACAAAGCTGTTCCATCACAACACTGCCTACAGGTAATATTATCTTTGGGCACTAAAGAAAAAATATTTTTTATATAAATTTATTAATTATACAATAGGAGTTGGTCATACTTGAGCGGGATGTTGGACAAGAGATATTAAAAATGGCTCTGGACATTAAAAACTACCTGAAAGTGGTAACTGCAAGCACGACAGTTTTATGTATTTTAGCTTTTTTTTTTTTTTTACGTGTTATTGTTTGAACTTTATTCATATTAAATCGACATCACAATAATGTCAGTAAAGACAGGTGACCCCGTTAATATCAACCTTGTTAATATTAACTTAAGCCACAAGACAAATTTTTATAAATTTTATAATAACAAAATTCCCTCATATATATCAAATTCAATATGATTTCTCATTAATATCACTATAAACATGATTTAAAACCAATTCAAATAGGTTGATATTAACGAGGGTCACCTGTAGCTTTGTAACTGATTTTGTGATTATTTCTACATGTTATTCCTTTTTTTGAATAAGCATGACTCCGTCAAAGCTCGGTAAAAGAAGTTTTGTAGTTCGCTGGTCATTAATGACGTGTTCATTAAATGCATGCATTAGTTTGGCCAAATTCACATCATGATTGGGAGCATTAGGGAGGTCTTTTCCTTTAGCCACTTGTGATACATATCCTCCGAACAAAACTGTTAAAAAAAGATTTTATAATTAGAATTTATTTTTATATGGGTGCCGAAATGAAACCCGATGCTAGGTTTTCCCTTGGTGGCACCCGTATGATGCTGCAAATGGGTTTTGAATTTCTTAATTAAATTCAGAGTTTAGTAATAGAATTTATTTTTATATAATTCTATCTTGATCAAAAACGCATGCTAACTGAACTCGAATTCCAAAATTTAGCACCCATTTACAACATGTATATATACACGAATGGAAAAAATTAATCAAACCATTATCAGCAACGATAAATCCATCATCCGAAAGAAGATTTCGCTCGAGAATAGTATTATAATAATTGATATAATTGCCTTTGTCAGCATCTAATTTCCGATAAGAGAGTTAGATACATTTTTACTATTAATATAATTATTTTACTTATTTAAAAAAATTTTATCCTACCAATAAATACTAGGTCGAATTTTACCGAATTATCAAAACTTAAAAGTCTAAAGTTTTTAAAAATCTTAGCTGTCGCATTTACTCAGTGATTAATATTCAGTGATTAATATATGAGTGATACAAAGGAAAAACCAGACTTTGTGCCAGAGTGTTCACCTATTCTAGCACTTAAAATAGAACTAGCGATATCACGAAAACAACCAAACTAATTTCAATAAAAGTTTTCTTATTTTTATTCTATGAATATATGGAATTAGTAAAATAATTCCGGTCAAATTTGGTTATGTGGTTGTCGTAATATCGATATCGCTGGCACTATTTTAGTCGCTAGAAATAGCTGGACATTCCAGCTTTCAAGGTTTATTATTTATTATACCCTGAGTACTATGCGTGTATTAGCGGAAATTTCATACCCAACTACCAGGGTTGTAAAGTTACCGTAAGTTACCATGGTAAGTTACCAAAATAAAGTAACTTGGTAACTTACCACGGTAAGTTACCACTAACAACCCTGCCAACTACCTAGGATATAATTATTATTTATCGGGCTCAGCACTGACCGGTGACATGTACTATATGTACGTACGTATCACATGCCTCAGGCTGAGTCTAATAAATAATAAATAGGTGAATACATAGCAAAAATTATACTTCTAATATATATATATGGACTGAGTGCTGCAAAAAAGGGGAAATCAACAAAAAAAATCTTCAGAAAATCAATTTATATGTTATAAATTTTATAATAAATCATAAGAAATTGTTAATATATGTAAAAAAAAAACTAATTTTAAAAAATTTGCCAATTTCCCCTTTTTGCAGCACCTAGCCCATATATATACTTAAGCATAATAAACTTGAAACCCCTTGGCATCACTCATATTTAAATAAATTATCGCTTACGTCTCTCTTGCATCGCCAAGCTTCATCTCAATCAAGTGTCCAAGTCCAGATGACTCGATGTTCTCTTTTGCCACCTTAAAAAACTCTTCGTTTTTTTCCAACGTGACTATTTTGGCTTCTGATCCTCGTCCTTGTAGACTTTCGGCCATCCACAACGCTGAATAACCTGTAAAAGTTCCAATCTCCAGTACCCTTGTAGCTTTACTTATCTTTACAAGAAACTTCAAAAAAGCTCCTTGTACTGAAGGAACAAGCATTCGAGAATCTTCAAATTCGTATGAAGACACGGTCTTCTCTTGTATTGATTTTAAATGAGGTGATTGCTTAGTAGAGTGGGCCATCGAATACTCTCCATCTTCATTGTTAAGGCTATGATGAAAATGGTAAAAATTTTGTTTCAGTGTTGATTTTTTTGGAA